GGATATACCAAATTTTATTTCCCCTTTCATCAGCTGTTAAACATTTGGGGCCCATCAGTTCTGGAGCACCAAGCCTTCCTCTCTTAAGCTCTCTCTCTGGTGCCCCCAGATCAGGGATCACAGACTCAAATGTCTCTCAGCTAGGTGTAAGAAAAATAGGAAGTGGTGAGGACCACGGCAAATGAGAGAACGTGTGCCCATGTAGAAGGGGCAGCCCCTATGGAGCCACTGCCAAGTGGCCATCCAGGCCTGGTATGGTTAGATCTTCAGACTGTTCCACAGAAGCCGGAATCTTGATTTTTATGTGAAAATTGTCTAATTTTTAAAAGTTGGTCAATTAAAATCAACACTGTGTGGGAGAGAGAGAATACAATTCCGGTCAAGACTAAATGCTACAGGTGATCCCTGAGTGATGCAGAGACACGTCTCATCTTTGGGAGCCTATGAAGGGTTAGCTAGAGTGTGAGCCTACCAGGCAACTTCTGCACTGTCCTTGGGCAACACAAAAAGGCTGTTCATCACTTTGGAGAAAAGAAGGACCCGGGTCTAAAGTCAACACGCTGGGTTGGGTGGGGGTGGAATTCCTCTCATTCTTTGGCTCAAGAGCATGCTGGAGTAGAAAACACAAAACTCCAGCAAATGTCTACATTGAATTCGTGCTGAATTGTCCTGCAAATTATACTTGTAGCCTGTTTCAGGATGGATTCTGACCTGCATGATGCGTGATCTTGATTCTCACTACGACTTCAACCATGGTTGAGAACTGCTGATTCTGTACAAGATGTGCTCTGATGGGGGGGAAAAAAAAAGTGCCCTCAATTCATGGTGACAGATTTGTGGAAACAAAAAGAAAAACAGAGGTCGGTCTCCTTATGTAGAACGACACCATAGTATTTTATAAGTTGGGGAGTGGAAAATACTGAGGCTTATGACAACAGCGAGTGTTTATTGAGTAAATAACCACTGTGCTTGCCACTGTGCACTTTCCATTTTGTTTTGCGTGTGACTTTGAAAAAAGTGGGTATTTTTAAAGGGAAAGAAGTTCATTGAAGCTAGTGTTGGTGTAGGGCTTGGTATTTGCAAAACAGTTTTCAATTCATTAATTTGAACCTGTGAGGATAAGCATTTTTACCTAACTCTCTTTTGTAGATGATGTCATTGAGGCATAGAGGCAAATGACTTTATTAAGATCATTCAGGGAATTCCCTGGCAGTCCAGTGATTAGGACTCCTTGCTGTCACTAATGAGGGCCTGGGTTCCATTCCTAGTTGGGGAACTAAGATGCCCACAAGCTATGCGGCCAAAAAAAAAAACAAAAAAAAAGATCATCCAGCCAAGGAGCCTAGGACTCAAATACATATCATTTGATTCCAAATCCTTCATCTTTTCCACAGATACACAGCTGCCCTTTTAATACGTTCCACTTTTGGTTTATCTAAGTAATAGGTATAGATATCTTTAGACTTAATACAGTATTTTATGTATTTTATTTCATACTTACATTTAAAATATAACATGTAATTTCTATTTCACATTTGTTATATTTCTTAATACGGTGTCTGAGTTTCTATGGATATTACCCACTCAGAAAACAATAAAAGGAAACTGATTTTCAAGTGTTTTAGTATTTTCACATTCTTTGTGTTGTCAACACTAAATTTATTAATAAATAATTGGGAGCAGGTGTGCACCTTAATTCTTAAGACATTACACTTAAAGAAGTATGATGATGAGAACAACAGATATGGGACACATTGTTACCGAATTGGTTGGACGGACCCCCACTTGGGGCCTGGCCCTGGCCAGAACCCCCTGTCTCTGTGGGGAAGATTCTTTGTCCGTTTGGATTCCACAGCCAATAACAAAACCGACGCTGAGACAGAAAGAGCACAAGCTTTATTCGGAGGCCAGAGAATGGAGAATCGGGAACTTAGTACGCAAATCACCTTCTCACCAGACTTGGGCTGGGATACCTCTGATATAGAGGGGAGGGGTTGGGGGGAGGGAATTCATTACTTCTCCGAGAACAGGCGTGTAGTTTGCTCAGAACTGGGGCAACATCCCTTTTCAGTCCTAATATGGATTCCTCTGGTTGTTGTCATGGCAATTGTCAACTGTCATGGTATTGGTGGGTGTGTCATTTAGCATGCTAACATATTACAATGAGCGTATAATGAGGTTCAGGGTCTCCTGAAGGTCAGGTCTTCTGCCATCTTGGATTTGGCTGGTTCTAACCAGTTCTGGTGGGTTCTTGTTTTTCTTTTCTGGTGGTTTCCTGTAAGACAACAATAACACTTCTCCACAGCTGCAGCTTATGTTCCCTCAAGGAAGGGGGCGGGTTAGAGCTGGAAGCTAACAGCCATGAAAACAACTTCATTAACTTAATCAACCGCAGCCATCTCCTTTCCTCCCCCCCTCTCCAACTTCTGTCCCTTCCCTTTTGTCTTCTTTTCGTTTTTTTCTTTAATTAATTAATTAATTAAATTTTTGGCTGTGTTGGGTCTTCGTTGCTGCACACGGGCTTTCTCTAGCTGCGGCGAGTGGGGGCTGCTCTTCGTTGAGGTGCGCAGGCTTCTCATTGCGGTGACTTCCCTTGTGGAGCACGGGCTCTAGGTGCATGGGCTTCAGTAGTTGCAGCACGCAGGCTCAGTAGTTGTGGCTCGCAGGCTCTCTAGAACAGGCTCAGTAGTTGTGGCACATGGGCTCAGTTGCTCTGCAGCATGTGGGATCTTCCCGGGCCAGGGATCATGTCTCCTGCATTGGCAGGTGGATTCTTAACCACTGTGCCATCAGAGAAGTCCCTCTTTTTATTTTCTTATTTTCCCAATCAATGAAGAAATAATTTATAAGAAGCCAGAAATCCTTCAGGCTCAATCCTAATTGTGCTTTTTTTGCTTAATACATTATTCATTCAGTTCATTCAACAATGAATATGTATTGATTATTTTATTCATCTCCTATTGCTGCTGTAACAAATTAACAAACTTGGTAACTTAAAACAACGCAAATTTATTATCTTATAGTTCTGGAGTAAAAAGTCTAAAATAACGGTATCAGTAGGTCTGCATTCCTTCTGTAGGTTCTGAGGGGAGAATCCCTTTCCTTACCTTTTTCGACTTCTAGAAGCCACCTGCATCCCTCAGCTCCCAGCCCCTTTCTCATATCAGTCTTGCTTCTGTGGTCACATCTCCTAATTCTGCCTTTGACTTTTTTTTTTTTTTTTTTGCGGTACGCGGGCCCCTCACTGTTGTGGCCTCTCCCGTTGCAGAGCAGAGGCTCCGGACGCGCAGGCTCAGCAGCCATGGCTCACGGGCCCAGCCGTTCCGCGGCATGTGGGATCCTCCTGGACCAGGGCACGAACCTGTGTCCCCTGCATCAGCAGGCAGACTCTCAACCACTGTGCCACCAGGGAAGCCCCTCTACCTTTGACTTTTTGTCTCCTTCTTATAAGTACCCTTGTGATTACATTGGGCCCACCTGGATAATCCCTATGTTAAAATCAGCTGATTAGCAGTCCAGTTCCATTTGCAACCTTAATTCCTTGTTGCCATGTCAACTAATATATTCACAGGTTCTGGGGATTAGGACATGGAAATCTTTGGGGGTTGGGGGTATCATTCAGCTCACCACCAGTGCCTACTATATGCCAAGCACCTTACAGATTTATATTCTGTTTTGCTGATTAGAAGTACTTATCACCGACAGCTGGAGATCTGTGTATCTGTCCATTTTTCTATTTGAGAGACATAAACAAATCATTCCTGTCCAGTGTGCACTGTTCAGACACACAACAGATATACCATCTGTTAATCTGTGTCAGCTAAATGGAAAGTACCCAGCATCTGATGCCACCACCAACCTCAAGAGAAGCCCCTCCATTTGAGGCAGTAGCTGTGATCAGTATTATGTTCAGTATGACACGTCCAAAGTGGCCGCTCATTACTGAATAATGCTTTTTAAATTTTTTATTGTAATTATCTGTCCTATCATAGGTAAACTAATACTCAGTTTAAAAGCTGACCTTTGTTGGCCTCATCCATTTTCGTAAGGATGGAAAATAGGGAAATGTGTGGAATTTATCATCTCAACTGGGACACCATGGCAGGTGAAAGGAGAAACTATTAATAATAATCATGCAGGAATAATAGGTATAAAAGAAGACTGTTTGGGGAACAGAGGATGTAGAATCTCGCTATAAACTGAGTCCAAATGAATAGTAACAGCCACAAACACTGTGATTATGAAAAAGTATTGAGTACCCCATAGGTTCAGAGCACTGGAGTAGAAGCTTTATGTCCTTGACCTCATTTAATTCTTACAACAATCTTATAAGGTAGATATTATGATTATTAATCATCCCTATTTTAGAGCTGAGGGAACTGAAGCTCAGGAATTTAAATACCTAGCTTAAGCTAGTAAGTTGCTGAGTTAGGATTTAAACCCAAGTTGGTAAAACGCTAAACCAGATGCTTTTTCTATTATACTGCCTTCCAGGAAAAGTATATTTTCTTGGAAATTGTTAAATTGCAGTTGCTAGCTGGGTACAGTTGGGTACCAATGTAGGAAGTTACCTGTTAAAGATACACAATGTCTTTATTCTAGGTCTGTGAAAAACCAGGAGCTCTGAGAGATGCTTTTTTTTTTCTTTTAATATGCACAGTTTATTTTTTTTTATTGGAGTATAGTTGATTTACAATGTTGTGTTAGTTTCTGCTGTACAGCAAAGTGAATCAGTTATACATATACATATATCAACTCTTTTTTTAGATTCTTTCCCCCGTATGTACTGAGTAGAGTTCTCTGTGCCATACAGTAGGCCCTTTTTCTTAGATTCCACATGTAAGCAATATCTCATGATACTTGTCTTCCTCTGTCTGACTCACTTCACTCAGTAGGAGAATCTCTAGGTCCTTCCATGTTGCTGCAGATGGAAGCGGGGAGTCCTAACCACTGGACCACTAGGGAATTCAAGAGATGCTTTTTCTTTGTCCTTCCTTTAGGTCTGTCAGTTCGTCGTCTCTGTAAATGGGCTTAACGTACTGCATGTTGACTACCGGACGGTGAGCAACCTGATTCTGACGGGCCCACGGACGATTGTGATGGAGGTCATGGAGGAGTTAGAGTGCTGAGAGGGCAGCCCTCCCAGCCCATCCCGTGGCCTGCGGAGGATCAAAGGCAGAACAACACAAAGCTCTGCAATGACAAGACTTCTGTATACCTGGATGGCTTTGGACATACAGATCTTTTCTCCGTACATACACATCTTAATTTGAGTTTCACACACTGTTTCCCTGTTGAATGTGGAAGAACCGGGTAATACATCTTTTTAAAAAAAAAAACAACAAAAAAAGACTTACGTCAATGTAGAGTTTGAGAAACAGAATTTTTTTTTTACATAGTAGCATTGCCTTACTCAATTTCCATTTGCAGTTCTCATCCATTGTTTTATATCTTAGTTTGCAGAAAGTTGCTGAAATGCTTCTCTGGCCAAAACAGCGATGTGCTAAAATCCCCTTCACAGTAGTCAATAAAGTAGTTTTAACAGACTTTAAGTTGTACTGTCACCAAATGAGCATGGAACTGTTTATTAGAGGATCTAGATTTCACCAAATTTCAAATTAAAACAACATCCAAAGGAATAGTACTTGTTAATTAGCATTTTGAAGATTCTAAATCATTCAGTGCTTAAAAGCCATCAAATTTTTGACTTTTTCTTAATTCCTGCCTTTAGTATCAACTTTTCACTTAATATGTGTTTTCAGTTATGGCGTTGGTCAAAAACCAAAAACCTTATAATGGTATGGGTGGGGTAGATAGGGAGATAACTACTTAAAACTATGTGCTCTGTTTTCTCTTTCTGAGCCTATTTTGTTCTATCAGTCAGCAACAGCAGCTTTCTAGAAATAATCCTGAATATGTTGAATGTCGAAACAGACAAGTTTGTATATACACACGTAATTCAAAATCACGCCTCTGGCAAGATTTCACTTTGAATTTGTCCCTTTTTAAGTGAAATATTCTAGAACTTGGCCCATATATGATAAAACTTGAAACTAAATTGCCTTATTGCCCTGAATTTTCACTAGCTTTCTAGTGTGACATATTCTAAGGACATGACATGTTGCTTATTTGGCAGGATTATTTTTCACCGAAAGCAACTTCTTGTGTTGTAACTCTTCAGCTCACTTGTATATATGCGTTTTTCTTTTTTTGGTCTCAAAGAGAATGCATTTTGGGGCTTGGTGTATAGAGGAAGCTCCTCAATGTGCCAAATTAGGGAATCAGGGAATGCTCAATTCTTCTTATTTTCATATAATACATTCTGAACGACAAGGTTACTTTCTTATCATGTAGTAACAAAATATGAATGTTGTACCTTGGCCATTTTTTGGTGATAGGTTATCATAATGTAATGGTACTGGTGGAATGGACATACCGTGTTAAAGATACCACATATATATGTTTCTGGGAGTCCAACTTTTCTGATCTGTAGCTTTAGTCAGAGAATAGGACTTTGAAGTAATATAGGATGGCTAACATTAATACTGTGGATCTACATTTGAGAAATATTATCATCTCCGTGTGTATGTGCGTTTAAACTATGTGCCAGGCTGTGTGCTATGGCACTTTACATACGTGCTCTCTTTTAATACTCATCACAACCCAGCAAGGTTGGTATTATGCCCCCCATTTTTCAGACTTGAAAACTAAGTCTGAGCAAGGTTTAAAGTGGTCTCAAGTTCACACAGTTGCAAGAACTACTAAGTGATAGAGCCTGGTTACAAACACAAGTTTATCTAATGCTAAAGCCCATGTTACTCCCTCTTCTACATTCCCCAGCCTTTCTGCATTTAGGGACCTTCCGCTGAGGGCTTATCCTGTACCCAGTGCTGTGCTAAAACTATACATTGCCTATCCTTACTGACCTGTGAGGTCAGTGTTGTCATCATCTCCATTTTACAGCTGAGGAAACGGACTCATAAAAAGGTTAGTCATATACCCAAGGCCACACAACTAGTAAGTGGGAAGCCTTACCATTAGGCTTTAAAAAAATGTATAACATCTTTAAAAGATAAGTCCTAGGGATTTCCTGGTGGCGCAGTGGTTGAGAGTCCGCCTGCCGACGCAGGGGACATGGGTTCATGCCCCGGTCTGGGAAGATCCCACATGCCACGGAGCGGCTGGGCCCATGAGCCATGGCCGCTGAACCTGCGTGTCTGGAGCCTGTGCTCGGCAGCGGGAGAAAAAAAAAAAAAAAAAAAAAAAAAAAAAAAAAAAGATAAGTCCTAAATGCATCCTGTCTGCATGCATTCATTAACTGATAAAAAAAAGAAGGAGGAATGCCTTTTGGGCGTGGCATCTTCTTGCTGCTACCTGTCCTTTTATGCATGTCCCAATGCCCATTGTCTTGGACCTTGGCATAATACCACTTCCCTTCAGCCAGTCTAAGCACCAGAGAGGCATCTGCCTTTATTGACTTCACACAGCCTCCTGCCTGTGAAATTTCTTTGATTCAGAGAGTGGCATTGATATCTTTGCTCAAATGAACACTAAGGTGAAGGAAGGAGGGAAGGGAGGGAGGGAGGGAATAAAAGCAGGAAGGGAGGATGGAACTGATTCCTCCTTTGACTCCCATCACCCTTAAAGTGCAAGTGCCAGAGAATTCTATTTTAAGGCCAAGAGGGCTTCACCTTAGCTATAGTCCTAGCCCACCCCTGGCATCCTCACCCTGTAGTTAAAGTGAAAGCTCCAGTCCCAAAAGGGTCCCGGTCTAGCTCCCTGCAGCCTTTGCCCATGCAGTTTCTCCTCCCTAGAATATTATTCTTTCTCCTTCTTTGCCTGGAAAAGTCTGTCTTATTGATTCCCCTTAGGTGTTCTTAGATATCATCTCTGAGAAATCTTTGCCAGCAAAATCTAGTTCTGGGATTGATGCCCTTCTCTAAATTCCCATGGACGCCTATACACCACCCTCCTGTGACGAGAGCACCGATGACATTTCCTTTGAAATTGTCCCATTACACGTCTGTCTCCCTAACTACACTCTAAGCATCTGCAGAACAGGAACTGTGTCTTGCTGCCCAGGTAGTCCCTTCACCTAGCACAGTTCCTAACACAGAGCAGTATGTCAGCTATCCATTGCTGTCTAGCAAATCAGCCCAAAGCATACCTTATAACACTACTTATTTGCTCATGATCCTGTGGGTTGGCCTTTTGGGCAAAGCTCTGCTAGGATGACCAGTCACAGCTTGATGTGGTACGGGTTGGGTTCAAACAAACACCTGTGGTCAGGGAGCGTGTCGATTGGGGGCTGGCTGATTGTGGATGGCTTTGTGCATATATCTCGCTGTTGTCTGGGGCTGTTGGCTGGGGTGCCGCAGTTCACTTCACGTGGCCTTTCCCCATAGCTAGCCCAGGCTTTCTCGTTAGGCCTCATGAGATCAAAGCGGGAGCATGGAAAACTGCAAGACCTTTTGTGGACTTGCTTGGAAGTCACACAGTGTCACCTCCACAGCATTTTGTTGGCCAAAGCAAGTCACAAAGCTAGCCCAGAATCAAGAGGCTGGGAAACAGACTCTTCCTTTTGATGGGACGAGCTGCAAAGAATCTGGCCATTTTTAAACCCACTAAGACTAGGTACTCACTATTTTTTTGAATAAAGGACCAAAAACTTACCTAGTTACTGAAAGGCTTCCGCTATCCAGATGTAAATTACTGACCAACCACTGGGTAGAAGTCCAACAGTTGTGAATAAAGCCCCATGCCTAATGAAAACTAGAGTCAGAAAAATCCTGAAATAATAGTGCTGAATGGAGCCACGGAGAGCACGGTTTTTATTCTTTGCATTTTGCTGAGGTGTGGAGTGGTCAGGTGGCATGCCCATACTCATGAGGCTTGTTGGGGCCAGAGCCTGGGCCAAACACCAGCCTCCCACCCTCCAATCCTATGTCCTTATATAGCCTCCTGCAGTGGAGGGTAATGCCATGAAAACAGGCCTTTGGCTTTGGATTATTCATAAAATGCAGTTGTGCCATGTACCTGTGCAGGTGAAGGATACATACTTTAATTAACTCAGGCCTTGAGTTGTTAAATCATATCATTACAAAATAAATATTTTGTGTGATATTTTGACAGTTGAACAGCTTTAAAATTTAGAAACTCCATTCCTAAATGTAACACCAAGAATGGTTCTAAATTAACAGTAAGCAGTATTTCTAAGAGCTTTTATTTCCTATGTACGTGTGTTGTCTGTGTGTATTGGTGTATTGTGTGAGAGAGTTCACTCATGGAGAATCCCTGAAATGGCTTACTTTGTTCCTAGAGAAAACACTTTTGGTTTTTCAGGTGTTTGTGTAATGTGTCTGCGTTTTTGTGATAGAGACAGAAATCATTTTTCGTTAATTCTTTAGCATAGGATTTGAAAGCCATGTTAGTTCATTCTGCTGTAGAGAGAAAAATGCAGCTGCCTTTTGGGTTGGTTCTATTATCTGATGTTTTCTTATTAATATCTGATAAATAATTGTATAAATTGATACATTTCTAGTTGAGAAATGGTGGGTAACATGAAGGAGATATCCATGTTTGAGTAGATTAGATACGATCAGCTTCACACTACCTTATAAAAGGTGAATGCATTGGAGTGGTAGCAATTAATAATTTAAAAATCATTGCTTTCAGGCCAGAATTGAGTCTCACATTTCCAAATACTCATTACTTTCAAATATGTTGTGAAAATAATCTGCTTTTAAGATCTACTTGAATGATGTTGACTATTCTCTCCCATTGAATATTAATCCTGTTTCATTTTGGTTATACATAATCAGAATAACTCTAGAACATTTCAGTTTTGCAAATTGGTTGGAGTCTATTGGTGTCATTGACAATGGTTTTACTCATTTAAGGCAGAATTTCAGGTGTAATATGTTTGTCCTCAGTTCAATACCAAAAGGACAAATCTGCAGTGTACCAAAAGGAAGTTCATCATCAAAGTTAGTATATGGTATTGTCAAATGCATTAATATACATGTTTATTTTTAAATTAGGTTGAAATTTATTTTCTCCATTTCTTAAAAATTATAGCAAAATACTTAAAATTATAATATGAAAATAGACAGTATAGCATGAAATAAATGTTAAATTTTTAAAACAATGACTTTAGGGTTCCAGCTTTTTCTGTCTTTTAGAACAAATTAGCCATTTTTTTTATCCTAAGAAAGGGTTGCATTGTAAAGCTGATCTACTACTAACCTATCAGAGAAAACACATGGGACTCATATCTAATTCTCTAATGTAGCCAAAAGTGCCATCTGTAAAACTACTTAATGATGGATGTTTTCTGAAGCTCTTTTGCCTGGAAAAAAAAAAAGTGCATTAAAAAGCTTTTTCTGTAGTGTATTTGATTTGGAATCATTTCCTCACTACACAGTTACTGATGAGTGTTATGGAATAGTCCATATGGAAATATGCTTTGTCGTTGTTTACTATTTTGAGAGAATGCTATTTTTTTGCTTTTTGTTTTTTTTCAACTAATTAGGAAATCAGTTACACAATTCAGTATGTATAGGGTAGACGTATGGAGATGAGTGGTTATTCAGACTACACGCAATATTAACCAAAAGGACTTTACATTTTTTTCTCATTTATTCATTTATTCACTTGCTCTTTCATTCACTCAAGAAACCTCACTGAGGACCTGTGTTTTGCTGGACAGTATATAGGCCCTGGAAGTATAAAACTGAGTAGACTGGACCCTGGATTCAGCTTATCCTTCAAGAGTCACCTCTAGGCCTGTCTTCTAGAAGACTTCTCTCCATGGAGAGGTGGGAATATGAAATCCTGGGTTGATATGGGTGTTTTAATACCACAAACCACCATCCAACCCCAGAACCAGAACACTGACAACAACTTATATTTAAACTGTTGTCTCCTTCCCAATCCTGTCCCCCACTTTCCCCTACCCAAGGAAAGCACAATGGCAAATGTTG